AGGTTTATTAGGTGCAAACTATAGGTAACCCCCATGCTAGGAAATGTTGGGACATATGTTACCATCTCATACCCACTCTCAGGTTCAAAAGGGAGACAGGCACAAAGAGCATCATGCACACATGGCAGATGGTGAGGACATGCATAGCCCAACCTAAGACATCATCTGATTGCTCCTTACATTGGCAATCATACAGATGGCACATGGTTCGTCCTATGTATATTTTTTAACTGTTCAAGTAACTTTAGATTGTTGATTTGTCCAAATTTCATCCTCCAAAGTTGACTGGGTCAGACTGGGTCAGACTAGCAGGTATTGGGTGTTCAACCTCTACCAGCATGTACTGGTTTTAAAATTAAACTATCAAATTTGGCCTTATTTCCATGGAGCTTTGTTTGTAAATGAGACAAGGGACAGGGATGGGTATGTGCACTGGCCCCAAGGTGTATATGTTTTACTGCCTGAGGCGGGATGTAAGAAGCATGGACTTCACCAGGGTGATCACAAGTGCCTTTTTAAATACAGGAGCACTGCACATTCATTTGTGTTAGTTGGCTTCTTTTTAAACTATGAATATCTTCCTAGAAGATTAAGCCCAATTAATAACCATAACTCACTACAAGTAGTAACCTCTAGCACCTCTCAGCGAGTGGATCCAAATACTATGACATTTGGTGATACAAAGAAGACATTTGGAGAGGAGGTGACCAGCCATTAAGCAGTGAAATATTTGGAGTAGACAAAGGAAGTCATAAACCTGGGAATAGACATTCACCAAAGAGTTTACCCAGTGTTGGTGGCTCTGTTCCATCCTCTCTCACAGGGCCTAAGCTGGGTGCTTTAGCCAACTTATCCTTCCCTTACAACTCACCAGGAGATGCTGTGAATTAAGGATCAAGTATCGCAGAGAGGCATGAAAGGGGAAGGAGAGAGAACAGTGGCCACATTTATCAAGCAAATTCTTCAGTTTTTTCAGATCCTCTAGCATAATGAAAACCATTTGCTTCATAAAGTCTTTTTTTTCTTTTTTTGTGATACTGGGTTTGAACTCAGGGCTTTGTGCTTACTAGATAGGTGCTCTACCACTTAATCCATGCCACCAGCTGCATTTGATTCACAAAGTCTTTAGAGCAACAAATGAGCCTGGTTTTTGTTTGTGAATTAATTTATCTAAATTAGATTGCCCAAACTGGTATTTGCAAGAGACAGTGTTCCTATTCTATTCTATATTTTAATAACACTAGCAGTACAGAAACCATCTCACAGAACAAGGTTGACAAAATGTTTAAAATGTTTAAATTTTAAGAAGATTTCAAAGGAGTTTTAGTGAATTTGTAATATTGATTTTGAACTTTTTCCAAATGAAGCAAGTGGTACTGTATTGTATTTTCAAAATTAATCTTCAGTTCTTCACAGTAGCCACTTTTTAACAATTTGCCCTGTAAAGTTACAGATGAATTTAAGTTACCTTTCAATGAAAGAAATCATTCCTTATCTATGCATTTCTTATGAGAAGTTCTTTTGATAGGAAATTACATTCAGGGCTGGAGGTACAGCATGGTGAGTGGTGGAGCTTGTGTAAATGTGCAAAGCTTTGGGTTCCACTCCCATGCCTGCAAAAGGAAGCAATTAAATTTGAAGCATTGTATCAAGTGTGTAAAAAACGTGAAGCCCTATTACGGATGCACGTATATTTATATATTTAGGAGTGTTATGTCCTCTTGACCAATGGATTCTTCTCTCACTATGAAATGGCTAAATTTTCTCCTGGCAATATTCTTGGTTGTGAAATCTATTTTGTCAGATACCAATGTAGTTACTCCAGTTTTATTTTGGTTAAGATGGCATATTTTTTCCTGTCCTTTTTCCTTGAACTTATTCATACTTCACATTTAAAGTGTTTAATTTTTGGTAGGCAAGATATATTTGGGTATTTCTTTTATATATAATTTGAAAATCTTTGCCTTTTAATTACAGTGTTGAGACCACTAAAATTTAATTAGCATCAATTCGGGGAAAAAGGATCCCTCTTACACTGTTGGTGGGAATGTAAACTAGTACAACAACTCTGGAAAAAAATTTGGAGGCTACTTAAAAAGCTAGACATTGATCTACCATTTGATCCAGCAATACCCTCTTGGGGATATACCCAAAAGACTGTGACACAGGTTACTCCAGAGGCACCTGCACACCCATGTTTATTGCGGCACTATTCACAATAGCCAAGTTATGGAAACAGCCAAGATGCCCCACCACTGACGAATGGATTAAGAAAATGTGGTACCTATACACAATGGAATTTTATGCAGCTATGAAGAAGAACGAAATGTTATCATTCGCTGGTAAATAGATGGAATTGGAGAACATCATTCTGAGTGAGGTTAGCCTGGCCCAAAAGACCAAAAATCATATGTTCTCCCTCATATATATGGACATTAGATCAAGGGCAAACACAAGGGGATTGGACTTTGAGCACATGATAAAAGCTTTACCACACAAGGGAGGGGTGAGGATAGGTAAGACACCTAAAAAATTAGTTAGCATTTGTTGTTGCCCTTAATGCAGAGAAACTAAAGCAGATACCTTAAAAGCAACTGAGGCCAATAGGAAAAGGGGACCAGGAACTAGAGAAAAGGTTAGATCAAAAAGAATTAACCTAGAAGGTAACAAACACGCACAGGAAATTAATGTGAGTTAACTCCCTGTATAGCTATCCTTATCTCAACCAGCAAAAACCCTTGTTCCTTCCTATTATTGCTTATACTCTCTCTACAACAAAATTAGAAATAAGGGCAAAATAGTTTCTGCTGGGTATTGAGGGGGTAGGGGGAGAGGGAGGGAGTGGAGTGGGTGGTAAGGGAGGGGGTGGGGGCAGGGGGGAGAAATGACCCAACCCTTGTATGCACATATGGATACTAAAAAAAAGTAATAATTAGCATCAATTGATATAGTTGGGATATGTTGGGTTCAAATCTTCCATTTTGCTATTTGTTTTCTATTAGTTTTATCTGTTTTTGTGCCCTTTAATCTCCTTACAGCTCTTTTGTATTAATAGTTTTTAATAATGTTATTTTATCTCTTGTATGGGTCTATTAGTGGTGCCTCTTTGTTTTACTTAGGGCTTAGAGCTTATATCTTTAGCATACTTATATATTAAGACAGGGTCTCAGTACATGCCTTCCTAATTGCAATCCTGCCTCAGTCTTCCCACTGCCAGGATTAAAGGCAGGGGGGTACAACACCTGGACACCTGGAAATATCTGTAGCTTAATACAATCTTTCTTCAAGTGATATTGTATCATTTCACATTCAGAATTAGAACTGTGCAACTGTACCCTATTTCTCCTCTACTGGCCTTTCATATTTTGTGATACATTTTATTTCTATATATGTTACAAATCTCACAGTACGTTTATTTATTTGTGGCAGTACTGGAGTTTGAACTCAAGGGCTCTATCACTTGAGCCAATTTCCCAGCGCTTTTTGTTTTCCTTATTTTTCAGATAGGCTTTTTATGACTTGTAGCTGGTCATACAGCACCACACCAGCTTTTTATTGGTTGAGATAAGGTCTCCAGAACTTTTGGCCTAGCCTGCGTGGAATCTGATCCTTAGGATCACTGCCCCTCTACCCTTTGGTAGCTAGGATTACAGGTGTGAGCCACTGTGCCTGGCCTACATTCATATTTTTGCTTTAAATGCTTTTTGTGTATTGGTCCTACTGGGGCTTGAACTCAGGGCCTCAGGCTTGCTGTGCAGGCACATTACCACTTTAGCCTCTCCTCCAGCCCTTTAAATGCTTCTTGCTCTCAGCAAGCTACTTTCTTTTCTCTTGCTAAAGATTTGTCTATAATAAGAACAATAGGATCTGAGGTTTCATCATCTAGTGTGCAGTCTTTTTTGCATCAAGTCTAACTGCTCAGATGCTTCCTTCCCTTCCCCTCTTTCTTCCTGGTTGTTGGGTATGAAATCTGCTAACAAATTACCTTCAAATACAAGTGAATCGTTATTTTTATAAAGAAAGTAGATCAAAATTCAGAGTGATTGAAAAAGAGACTTGGAATAATTCAGCCATGAGAAAAAGACCCGAACCTATTTTGACTATGACCATTATCAAATTCAATAGGCAGCCAGGTTGGGGGAGGGTCATTCATGGAAAAGTAGATTTTTGTTCTGTGTTTTCTTCATTATAGACCTAAACAAAGGACCACAGTGGTCCGCTTTTCTCTTTTAAGCATTGGTCTAAAATGTTCACTCCTTGCTCTTCCTAACCCAGGTTTGATCAAGGTACTTTGTGTCTTCTTCAGCTAGCAGTTTTAGGTATAGAAAAACATTGCAAATTTAGAATAAAGAAGTTTTGCCTTGAAATAACAAACAGCATGGATCCTGAGATGTGGCAATGCAGTTCTGTGCATCAAACACAGAATAAAATGGAAAAATTGGAAGAGAACAGGTTACATCATGAGAACTTCCAGAACCTGGCTAATGAGCACAGAAGGATTTTAATACAATCCTCGCTTGTACGAGAATGTAGCTTTTAACTCTCCTTCCAGCAACTTCTGGAGACCATCTTTAAAAATCATTTGCTTCCTATCAAGATACAATTGTCCACTTCTCAACTCTCTCCTCTTTCTGGGCACCAGTTTGATATTTCCCCAGGTTTTGTGGATAAATTCGAGTTCCAAAATGTCTAAATTTAGGGCTCTTGTAAGAAAGCCTGCTGCTTGAAGTCCTTTCAGTGCCCACTTCGGTCATTTAACATTTAACGCAGTTTCCTAAATCAAAGCCGAGGATGCGTGACGTGCTCGGTAACTTTCCCTGGGCTCTTTTCAGGACGGCCACAGGTTGTACGGACAGCCAGGCCTCAGGGAAAGGCAGGCTCCGCGGCGCGGGCAGCCGGGCAGGGCACTGCGGCGGACACAGGCTCGGCGCGCGCGCAGCGACTCCACGGCGGCAGGAGAACGCGCGCGCACACGCGCAGGGCCTCACGGGGGTGGCGGGGAGAGGAGAGGGAGTCGCGCAGTTCCCACGGCGACCCGGCTTACGTAAGGCGCCTCGCGTGGGCAGGGGCTCTGGCCGCGTGCACAGAGCCTGCCCCGCCCCCGGCCGCTGAGGTTGCGGCCGTGCGCGGTCAGGTCGCCCACGCCTCGCAGGCGCCTCCGGCAGCCGAGCCTTGCGCTCGCCCCCGCGCGTAGCCGCCGCAGCTTGGAGCTCGCCGCCCCCAGACGCTGCTGGCTACCTGGCTGGCCGGCTGGCGGCGAAGGCGGTGGCCACGTTCCTTCGAGTGGAGCATCATCTCTCCTCCGCTCCTTCCCTCCAGGCCTGAGTCACCGAAGCCCCGCGGTTATGAGCCCCGAGCCGGTCCCGTCGCCCCGGCCGGTGGTGCCGTCACCACGGGCGCTGGTGCCACCGCGACCGACGGCCCCGCAGTGTCCCCGCTGCAACTATGGGGAGCCGTTTATCCAGCGGCTGGAGAAAGGCAATGAGGCCTACCGCGCAGGCCAGTATGAAATGGCAGCCGAGCTCTTCCGTTCCATGCTGGCCGGCCTGGCGAAGCCTGACCGCAACCTGTGCCTGCGGCTGGGGGACGCGCTGGCCCGCGCCGGTCGCCTTCCCGAGGCCCTGGGCGCATTCCGCGGGGCCGAGCGGCTCGGGGCGCTGCGGCCCGAAGAGCTGGGAGAGCTGGCGTGCGGCCTGGCGCGCGCCATGGGCCTGCGCGAGCGGCGGCTGCCCATGGGGAAGCCAGGCCCAGGCCGCGCACCCGTGGCGCCGGGCGAAGCACGGCCATCCACGGCACCCCCAGCACCCCGCGTCTTGCTGGGCTGTCCTCGCTGCCGGAGACTGCTGTACAAGCCGGTGACCCTGCCCAGCGGAGTCACGGTCTGCAAGCGCTGCGTGGATCTGGGGTCGCCCCGGCCGCAGCTGCGTCGCGTGAACGTGGTGCTGAGCGGCCTGGTGGAGAGGTGCTTCCCGGGCGAGTGCCGGCTGCGCAAACTGGCGGGCCAAGCGCGGAATCTGCAGCGCCAGCAGCAGCTCGACGCCGCGCTGCTCAAGTGCGAGCAGGCCCTGGACCTGGGTAAGTCAGCCCTGGGGCGGGCCCGCCTAGTTACACAACCTGTGGGGCCCCGCGCAGAGCTGGGAGGTGGCCGGTGGCACGAGGTTTTAAAGAGCTTTGTCCAGGCTTAGAAGTCATTTTGCTTTCTAAAGTTAGGAAGGTGAAAGGTGGTAACAGCCACACCCTGCAGGGTGATCAGTGTCAGAAGGCAGTTGCACCCCATTTGTCTTTTTCAGGACCCTGGTAAGTACTGTTTGGCCTGCCTGAGCTTTCCGCTCCCTAGGGCCTTCAAACTGCCATTCAGCCCCTTCTCAGCTGTTTAGGAATGGGAGGATGACAAAGTGTTTTTGCTGGACCTGCAGGAAAATGCAAGTAACTGACGCATTTGAGACGGGTAGGGCCTTGTGCTGGGGCAGGATTTGCTCTGGGGATTCAGCTGGTGTAGCCTGGAAGAAGTGCCTTCCACTCTGCCTTCATTACCTCGTACTATCTGCTCTGCCGTCTCTGTCTCTCAAAGGCTGTTAAGATACTGTTATGGCGTATGTTACTAAAGATATATTGACTAGTGAATATGGTTTTTAATCTCGTTCATTCGTTTATCTCTACTTAGGTCTGTGACCAGCATCACCACTCCCAACCACCACCTGTTACAATATGTAATGAAAGGAAGATCAGACTCTTTGTATTTGACTTTGAATGAGTATGCTATATAGGCAGTTATTTTGGGCGGAATGTGGAGAATGACTTGTCTTTTGGTTTTGTAATAGGGTATATATGATTTAAATCAATAGCTAAAAAGACATGGTTTAATCTTGTGTTTTTCAAAGAATCGTGTGCTTCGGTCTGTATGCCTTTTTTTTAGACTTAGAGTTAAGGTTTTCCCTTTCAGAAGGCATACACTAAAAAGTGAAATTTACTTGTTCTGCAAAACAGATTATGATATAATAATTAAGCAAGTGACCAAATTCTGGCTTCTAATTGGGGGAATTTTCTGCTGAAATAGGGTAGTGAACTAGCTTTATACAACAAATATTCAGTATAGTTTTTGCAGCCAGCTTATCTGCACTTTAACAGGTTATGTGGTGTAGAGCAGTATTATCCAATGGAACTATAGTGTAAGCCACAGATATAATTTAAAATTTTCTGGTATCCATGTTAAAAAGGGTGAAAAGAAGAAGGTGAAATTTATTTTAACAATATTTCTAACACTGTATATCCAAAATATTATTTGAACATGTCCTCAATATTTTTTTTAAAAAATCAAGATTTCCTTTTTTAAAAAAACTGTTTGAAATCCAGTGTGTGTTTTGCATTTATTGCATTCACCGATTCAGACACTTTTATGTGAAATACTCATATTTAGATGTTGGAGCTGTAGAAACAGGAGAACTATCATATCTGCTGATGGGACTGCAAATTACAGCCCTAGAAAATTGTTTCGTAGTGTCTACAAATGCTGAATGTGACCTTTGGCCAACAGTTTCCAAGAAGTTCATGTATGTGTGTACCGAAAGACTGTGCAGTGGTGTCGGTCATCATTAAAGATGCTCGCAAAGTGGAAACCTAAATATGCAGTAGGAGCACAATGGGTAAATATATTATGTCTTCATGGAACACTATAGAGGAAAAAAATAAACCAGTTATAGTTACAAATAAACTACAGTTACAAACTACAGTGTGCATGGATCTCATAAACAATGTTAAGTGAAAAAAAAACAGACTTGAAAGCATTTTTTCTATGCAGTTGTATTTATCTGTAAGTCTAAACATGCAAAATTACTATAGGATGTTAGAAGTAAGCACAGTGATTTTCTGTGGTGGATGAAAGGGAATAATGACTGTGATGAAGTGTGAGAAGGACCTGTGGGGGGTGGGGTTCTTTTCCTTGACCTAGGGGATGGATACACAGGTGTGTTTGCTTTGTGATAGTTTGTTAAACTATATACTTAGGCTTTAAGCTTTCCCATGCATAAATTAAATTTCAATTTAAAAGTTTTGAAACTATACACTGTTCCAGACAGTTCATATGACAGCTTACAATTGAGTATATATCAGTATTTATTTTCCATTCAAAGATAGGAAAAGAAAGTTAACTTTCCCTAGTCGAAACTTTTAAGAAGGGGGCTGAGAATATAGCTCAGTGCCCTCCCTACAGTATTGCCAAAACAAATAAAACATCCAATATGTTTAATTTCATGATAAATAGGCCCAAAGTAGAGGTTTTGATGTAGTAAAAAAGTTCATAGCTGTTAGGAAGCAGAATACTTATGTTTAGGCCCAAGCTTTGAAAATATTATGTGACCTAACTAAATGTAGTAATCATTAACACTGTTCCCCAAATATTTCTTTCTCTATTTCTTCCTTAGACAAGGTAAGATTGAATGTCTTGGTTCATCTGATGTTTAGTGGAGCCATGTGAGTTAATTTTCACCAATAAATTGTGAGTAGAATTCAAAATAGCAAATAGATATGTTAAAGTGAACAGATAAATGTATGAAAAGATGATGAATTTGGTAATTGGCTATACAAAAGAACCAAGTGGCTGTTATCTAACTACAAAAATACAACATCTAAGGTAAAAAAATAATGGGTTAAAAAACAGACTGCACACTTTAGAAGTTGATATGAGAAAACTCAGTCAGTAGAATATATCCAAACAGAATCACAGAGAGAAAAAGAATAAAACAGAGCAGAAGAAATATGAGGGGCACAGACAAAAGTTCTAAATTCTGTGAAATTAGAACCCAGAAGAGGAGAGAGGGGAAGAGGGGAAAAGAATATTTAAAGGAAAAAAATGACTGAGAATTTTCAAAGGCTGATCAACTGTAATTGTACTAAATCCAGATGCTCAATAAGCCTGATAGGATAAACACAAGCACACACAAAACACATCTATCATGGTCAGGTTACTCAGAATCAAAGAGGAACTTTAAAGCAGTTAGAGGAACCATACTAAGACCCAACAGCCAACTTTCATACAAAATTATTGAAACCAGAAAATAATGGAATTAACATCTTTAAAGTGTTGGAAGGAAAGGAAAGGGGTGAAGAAGGTTGAGGGAGGGACGGAGGAAGGTAAGTCAGTCTAGAATTTTTTACCCAGCTAAAAAATGTTTTTCAGAAATTAAAAAATCAAGATACTTTAAGTCAAAGAAATAAAGTTGAAGGATTTTATTGTTACCAGAATTGCACTACATGCATTCTAAGAGAAGGCTAAGTGAAAATGATGCACATGGAAGCATGGAGCTAAAGGGAGGACCAAAGACTAGAAAGTAACTAGATGAATAATTTAAGACAGTGCTGACTATTTCAAACAACAACAATGTCTTATGGTATTTATAACATATGTAAAAGTAAAACATGGCAGTAACACAAAGCCAAGATGGGTAAAGTCAAATTGCTGCAGAGATTACATATTGCTTTCAGAAGAGAGAAACTTTAAATGTACACAAATAGGTTGAAGTTTATAGGTTGGGAAATAATAGTATATAAAGACTGACAGAAAGAATGCTGATATGCAAAATTATTACCAAAGTGTTCTTACAGATAAAATGTATCATAAGGGATGGAGATATTTATGGCACATGAGCTGGTTCAACAGAAAAGAAATACTCCTAGATTTGTACCTATCAACAGGTGTATTCAATAACACATATCCAGAGTATAAGGTGTCGAAATTGAAGGAGAAATAGATATTTTGAACAAAAATCTTAGCAATTGATAAAATAAGGATGGAAAAATAGTAAGGAATATAAATTGGAACAACACACTTCCGCATTTCGATTTAATCACAGGCGTCACCACATACAGCCAGTATGGAACGTAACACCTGTTCAACTTCACATGACTACAGGCAGTGCATGGGTTTGGCTTGTGGTTATGTTTTGCAGCTCTTGGGTTGGGTCATAAAACAAATTACAACAAATATTAAAAGATTGGAATCAGAATCTGATCTTCATACTGTATTCTTAAACTAAAATTAAGAGCAGATAAGTAGACTATCTTCAACTATTTGGAAATTAAGCAGAATATTTTATCATAATTTGTCTTAATCTGCATCTATAACAGAGTACTACAGACTTGGTGATTTATAAAGAAGAGAAATTATTTCTCATAGCTTTGGAGTCTCAGAAGTCCAGTGTCAAAGTCCCAGCCTCTGAGGAGGACTTTCTTGTTGCGTTGTTCCAGAGTAGAGGGCAGCGCATGGAGACAGTGCAGGGCCCACTTTGCAACAAAGCCACTCTGTGAGAGCTGGTCCATTCATGACTGAGGCCCTCAGGCCCCAATACACCTTCTTTAAGTCTCTACCTCTTACTACTGTTACAGTGGCAGCAAAATACCAGTGTGAGTTTTGGAGATCTTCTAATCATAGTGAAATTTATGGTTCAAATAAGAAATTACAATGAAAATTAGAAAATATTTTTCCTGGATGACGAAGAAAAACTGCAGATGCCACTTCAGAAGTGCTAAGAGGGCAATTTATTGCTTTAAGTACCTGCACTACAAGAGAGCAATTGAAAATCAGTGATCTCCCAGTTCCTGTTCCAAGAATGAAAAACAAAAGCAAATTCAACCCAAAGGAAGTAAAAAGAAGAGTTGAAATCAATTATAAAACAGGAAAAATGTAGTCCAGTGAGGTTTTTGTTTGGCGGTATTAGAGTTTGAACTCAGGTCCTCATGCTTACTAGGTAGGCGCTCTACTACTTGAGTAGAGCCTCCAGTGTTTCTTACAAGCATAGTTGCCAAAATGCCAAACAAAAAAATTAGCAACTTGAATCTAGAGATAACCCTAAAGGACAACACATCTTATGAAAAAAAAAAAGAAAGAAAGAAAATCATATGCCCAATGTTAAAACCTCTCAGGAAACTAAGAATAAAAAAGAATTTCCTTTAATTTCTTAATTTTGTATCTACAAAATCTATAGTGACCATCATAAGTTTGATGAAATACTGAATGTTTCCCCACTGAAGGAAAATGGTGACAAGGATGTTCACTGTCGTGACTGCCGATCAGCAGTGTG